ACTACTACTATTACTACTACTACAGCAAGTACTACAACTACTACTGCAACTACTACTACTACTACTACTACTACTACTACTGCAACAACAACAACAACAACAACTACTACTACTACTACTACTACTACTACTACTACCACCACCCCGACGACGACGACGACGACGACTACTACTACTACTACTACCACTACTGCTACTACTACTACTACTACTACTACTACTACAACTACAACTACAACAACAACCAACAACAACTACTACTACTACTACCACTACTACTGCTAGTGCTACCGCTACTACTACTACTGCTACTACAACAACAACAACAACTACTACTACTACTACTACTACTACAACAACAACAACTACTACTACTACTACTAGTACTACCACTACTACTGCTAGTGCTACTGCTACTACTACTGCTACTACTACTACTACTACTACTACTACTACTACTCCTGCTACTACTACTTCTTCTACTACTACTACTACTGCTACCACTACCATAACTGCTTAGTAGTGTTACTTACCACTTACCACGGAGCACTTACTACACTGCCCCCTACCACTACCACTCCCCCTACAGCTATCACTACCACTACCACTCAGCTAGATTCACACACCCCGCCATTCTAAAGCTCCGAATAAGGCTGGGATCCTCAGACCCTTCCTGAAAGCACCCTGAAACCCTGAACTCCCAGGCCGGCAGACTTTCGTTGCACTGCCAGGACCCACCACTCCGCGAGAGCCGCGCCTCTCACGGGCAAGTGGAGGCCGAAGCCTGGACCCATCCAAGATCCAATCCGGAAAAATTGGGGTTTAGGGTTTAGCTCGCGGATAATAATGCATACTATAAGTTGGATGCCCACACCTGCAGGACCATGGTTCAAGCCCCGGATGTAGGTCGTTCTACGCAGACAGGATCCCAGGATTCCCAAGGATTCCTTCCGGGGCCGGAGTCTGGAGAAGCCCATCTGTGATCCCCTGAACCCCGTACAGACGGTTTAGCTTCCCGACGGCAAGTGGCTGTGACTCAAAGGCAAAATCCATCGGAATCTTCAGCAAAGAATACGCTGGTATTAGCTATTAGAAGTTATTATTACAGCGACTGCCACGTGCCATTTCTCCTGCCAGTCAGCCTGATAGTCAGTATTGCTGGATGACGCCAGTTGCTATGGCTACCAACCTGCAAAAGCAGCAGAGTCAGTAGCAGAACACGCAACAGCAATAGTCGAACACACAGCGGTAAGATGCGGCATGAGTATGGAAGTGGTAGTGATATGGGGGTGGTAGTAGTAGTAGTTGTTGTTAGCAGCCGTGGTGGTACTAGTGGTACCAGCGATTAGTGGTAGCCGGTAGCACGAAGCCTCAATCCTAAAAACCCTGAACCTGCAGCATCCTCCGCACAGACCTGTCCTCGGCGTCACCGCAACGAGCGGGGAGGCAGTCGACTTCCTCGGATGCCGCCTACAAGGGCTCCTACAAGGGTTCCTGTACAGGTTCCCATAACAATTGTAAAGTTTCCTAGAGGGGACTCTTGTTCAAGCTTCAATATTTCTGCAGGCCATCAAGCTACACAGAGTCCAGCGTCTCGGATTTACGTTCGGGGTGTCGACGTTGTCGCTTTGGGGATTCGGGTCCTATGCTGGCAGTCGTGTTGCATGAACGCCGCAGGCCCATCTGAGGTCTAGTCGCTCATGTGAACATCAGAATTTGAACATAACCCTCGAGGGTGGACGACTAGAGAAACTTTTCAGCACATCCGATACCTCGCAGCCCCTTCACGTCGTGCTAGCAGCTGTGCTATACCGAGACCCCTTGACGTCCGTAGCGGCATGGCGGTCGAAAGCAAACCCATCGGAAGGATCCCCCGACCAGGACGCAAACATGAGATGACGTGGATAGCTAAAAGCTCCACAACCTCGCAGCCCGACAAGGAAGGTTTAACGCCCCCTGCAGGGCTCTGCTTCGGAACAACTTTGGACTGCTTGTATTTTTGACAAAATCCCCAGGATTCTATTCAAGATTGTCATGTTTCTGATGGGCCCAAGGGAGCTATAGCCTGAAAAACCAAAAACCACAAGTTTTTAGCCAAGACAAGCAATCCGCGCGATGCTTCCCTGGAGCAATGGCCTGCGCTGCCCGCGATGACTACCTGGCAAGACGACCAAGAGGAAGGCTACTAGACGGTTTAGGGTTTGCAGGGTGCGCGATTGTAGGCTTTTCTGTCTATGGCATGTATGAGATTGGGTAAACGAGAGGGCTCGGTTCCCCTTGCCGCGTACATTCCCAGTCGATGTCAAAGGAGTCTATAGACAGGGTTGTGATGAATAACCATCCCTCCTCAACCCTAAACCCTAAACCCTAAACCGCCCAAGGATTTGGAAGAAGCCGCCAACCCAAACCAGTTTGCGACGAAGAGAAGCAGCAAAAAAACTATCCACTGAAACTCTCGACAAACTCTGAGCCCAGACTCTAAACCCTCAACTCTAAATGCTTTACCGTAATCCCTCGATCCCAAACTCAACCCTAAACCCCTAAGACCCTCTTTGTAGTGTCTGTAGAGTACTCATGGAGTACCGTTTCCAGGAACCCGAACAAGCCGAAGCCCCTCCTTCCTATCCAAGGCTGGGAGGTCGAGGAGACGTCCTGGCCCGAGGCGAGAGGGCTGTGCACTCTCGATGTTTGGGCGATAACATGATAAGTTACCATGATATGAAATCACATCACATCACATCACATCACATCATATCATATCATATCATATCATGTCATATCATATCATATCATATCATATCACATCATGTTATAGCATATCATATCACAGAGTATCATTCCATACGTATCAGACCATATCATATCATATAATACCATGTCACACCACGTCGTGCCATACACACCCTATCATTCCGTATCATACCATATCATACCGCAGCACCCTTTGTCGTAAAACGCACTATATTATGTTGGTCGTACATAGGCATGTAATATCTTAAAAGCAATGAAAATATGTGATTATCATAAGATTTTTTTGCCATAATACCAGAACAAAAGATTATGATAATAGCATAGTGTCATGTGCCTGGATAATTGCCAAAATTATGCCATAGGGTTCCTTATGCGAGTTTGCGAGTTATACTGTACTATGCCCCAAACTTGTGTTCTAACTATCAACGCCTTATGTTAATTTAGGGGTTAGGGTTCATAAGATGTCTGTCAAGAAATAAGATTGTAATAGTGTTGATGAGTAGCTGCTATTCAAGCGAAAGATCAAGCGATGTGAATCTATTAATCAGTAAAGCTAGTCCTTAAGTAGGGTTCATGTCAATGTATAGAGTTATGCGGAAAGAAAAACCGCCCTCCCCACCAATAAACATAGTCATGTATTGAGGCTCCTGTCTCAAGGATAGGCGTCGGGCCAGGGGCGATCAGCTTGGTCCAGCTTCAACTCTCTTCTCCTAAGCTCAGACCAAACAGTTCAGGGCTTAGGGCCTGGGTTTAGGGTTTAGGGTTCATATGAATAAACCGCCCTACAGCAAACACCTATAACGCTAAACCCTAAACCCTATAAACCCTAAACCCTAAACCCTATAAACCCTAAACCCTACAAGCCCTAAACCCTAAACCCTAGCAACCCTAAACCCTAAACCCCAAGAAGGCAGGATGCCTGCAGACCCTGCATCGAGGCTTCATGCGGGGCGCCGGGGGAGCAGGAGCTAGTGGACCAGGTTGACCCTTGGCCAGGACTTCATTGCTGTAAGGATACTATAACTGCAAGGTTGCTTTTACTATAAACTATAAGGTTATGATAACCATAAGGCTACTGTAACTGTAAAGGTATTCTTAGGGCGATGGAGGCGAGATCGATGACGGCGGGTCCGACGCTAGTCTGAATATGGTACTATGTATCATCATGGCGGTCATTGTGTCTCGTGCAGGCGGCCTGGGGTTTCGGGTTTCATTCAGGGGTGGAGGCGGAGGGAAGAGGGTTGAACCCGGAACTCAGATGGGATCTGTTAGAGTTGTCATCTGACAGCCTTCATGGGCTGCAAGATGGTCATTCTCGTGCGGTGCAGCTGACTTGAGCTGCAAAAAGAATCGCATTGGATGCCACCAAGTGGGAAAGCTTCTGCTGCCTTTCTCACTACCGTCTGTCGCCATCAGCAGCATTGCCATGGCCGCGACTCACCACTTGTTCCTTCAAAGCTATTGCGGCTCATGGCTGATTCGACTGTTGTTGCTGCTTTCTCTGATTTTCAGTCAGTGTGATCCTAGACCTTCCACCTTACTAAATGTGAAATTCTGCCTTTCCCGCTGCCCTTGGAGAGGCCCACCCTAGCCTGGGTCCGTGTACCCAAATAGTATATACTTTGGCCCCAAAGTACCCAAATAGGGACTCCTTTAAGGCCAAAGTATATACTATTTGGGTACGTGGACCCTTAGGGCCAAAGCCCGAGTCATGAGCAGATGTCAGGTCGGCAGGCTCCTCCACACTGGGATGATCGCGCTTTGGCTCAACTTGGAGTTGCGGTTTAGGGCTCAGGGTTCAGGGTTTAGGGTTTGGGGTTTAGGGTTCAGGGTTCAGGGTTTAGGGTTCAGGGTTTAGGGATGGGCCTGAGGGTTTCGGGCCTAGCGTCTAGGGTTTGGGGTAAACCATGGCCTTCTATCAGGTCAATGACAAGCAGACCAGCTTCTGCTGTTATGACGACAACTACGACGACGACTGCTACTGCTGCTACTACTACTACTACTGCTACTACTACTACTACTACTACTACAGCTGCTACTACTCCTGGCCCTGGAGTTCCCCGCGAAACCAAAGACGAAAGCCAGCATCCTTGAAGTAGATGGCCCGC